GTTTTCATTTCGAACGTTCCACACACAACGAACACCACATACCTACTGTCAACCAACAACAATGGTGTAATGCAAAACAAAACCACACGAAAAACTCTATACGCCAAACGACAACTGGGAACACAATAAAAACAATCCTCATCACCACTGCCTGTGACAATTGCGAACCATTTATTGTTGGCACCAAACACTCACCACCACACACACGTGCACCTTCATCATACTAATTGCAAATTCATATGAATTTGAATCACAAAAATCGCAATTAAAATTAAAATTTAAAAACTAAAAACTCATTGGGTATAAAAAAAAAAAAATAAAAAAATTGCATGACAATTCGCTTAAATAAAATTCAGAGGAAACGGAGTATTTCTCTGAAACATTGGCTGCCGAACAATTCTCACAATATGCTCCCACACCACCAACAGCAGCAGCTGCAGCAGCCGCCGCAACACTGCCACCGCCACCAATACAACACCAGCAACACAACACGGCGGCAATTATATCCAGCAATCAGGCAGCTAGCGCCAGTAATACACACATTTATAGTAGCCAACAACAGGTGGCAGCACAGCAGCAGCAGCATCAGCGGCAACAACAACAGCAACAACAGCACAACACTCAAAGTCACAATCACAGACAACAAACACACGAACCGACACAGCAACAGCAACTGCAACTGCAACAGCAACAACAAACCCAAACACATCAACACCATCCACACTATCAGCCACCACCACAACCACAATCACAACAACACTCACATCAACAGCAAATACACCAACTACAACATCAGTTGTATCAAGCTCAACAACAAGCCACACAACAGCAACACTATCCACAACATACACAGCAACAGCAACACCAACAACAACAACAACATGAACAATATCAACATTACCAGCAGCCACAGGCGCTGCGGCAACAATATCAACTGCATCAGCAGCAATTGTTGAAGCAACAACAGCAGCAACACCATCACCAACACCAACAACAATTGTTGCAACAGCAACAGCAACAACAACCAATTAAACAAACATCACATTTGTATCCAACAGCGGCCGCAAACCATTCATCCCAGCAGCAGCAGCAGCAGCAGCAGCAGCAGCAGCAGCAGCCGCCGTCGAACACCTACAACCAGCTGCGCTCAGCAATTTTGCAGAATTCTCATCACCCAACTGGTGGCGCGCAAGCAGCTCATCTCAACGAAAATGTAACCAACGCCGGCGGCGGTGGTGGCGGCTATAGCAGCGGCGGCATGACCAACCATGCAACCGGAGGCGGCGGCACTTACGATCAATACGACAACTACACACGTGCCGCTGCGGTCAATAACAACAACTTGACTTATCAGCAGCAACAGCAACAACAACAGGCACAATCACAGTCACAGTCACAGTCACAGTCACAAAAGGCCGCCTCTTATCACAGCAACAGCAATTCGGCTAGCGCTGCTAATGCCAACAATGGCGCTAGCGCTGGCAGTGGCAGCGGCGTGCCTCAAACTACACAACAACTATACGCCAGCAACAACTATAACAGTCACTTTTCGTCGAGCACTTCATTGGGCGGGGCAACAGGCAATTTGGCGCATCACAACAGCAACGGCACCGTTAGTACCGGTGCTGGCGTTGGCGGCAGCAACAGCAACAGCAATCACTCGCACAGTCACAGTCACACAAGCGCCGGTGGGCTGGTAAATAATGGCAGTGCAACAGCTGTGGCGGTGAACAGCATTGGCAAAATCGCCGACTATGATCCGTTGACCGATGGACCACGTCCCATGCCGAACACCGGAAGACCCAGCACAACGCTCATTTACAGCTCGGATAGTCGCGGTTCGGGTGAGTGTAGCGCTAGTGGTGTAGCGTAAGCTATAAAGTGTAAATATCAATTAACCGTAATTGTGTAATGTAAAAATTGTCCTTCAAAAACACATTTTTATTGCATTTGTCTGTCCGCCTTCAGCAAATCGTTTCATAAAAACAAGCGCCCCGTATATCGCCAAACGTCGCGCTTTGTGTGTCG